GCTCATATTACCTGGCAAGCACCAACAAGCCAAGAAAACAGAACTGTTGTTGCGAGGGCAAAGTACTCTCTTGTTCGCTTACAAGGCGGGAACAGTGTTCGAACCTGCAAACATAAACAAAAACAAACTCCATTAATCTACTTACATATTCATAAATTTAAGTCCGTGCAAAAAAAAAAATAATTAATAATTTGAGTACATAAAATCAGGGATAAGGGTTAAATTAATTTAAGAATGGAGATTGCAATTCAAATGAAACAATGTGTGGAGTTTTATTTTCTACATGAACTTAGATATATTTTTTCATGAACACGACATAAAATAATATATTAAATATCTATAGCTTTATACGAGATTGGCTCGTTAAGCTAATGAGTCGATAAAATGAGTTCTAGTTCAGCTCGTTTACTAATATTAACAAGATGAAATATAGAAATTTGTATAAAATCTCAATTTTCAAGTTTTAACTACACGAGCTCAAATTCAGTACGATCTCACGAATGGTTCATTTCGTTTAACAACTCTAGGAAAAATATTAAACCGGCAATTTTTTTTTTTTTTTTCTTATAATAGTATAATACCAATATGCATACATTTATATAAAAATAGAAGAAAACTTGCCAGGCTAAGGATAGGTTTGGGAGCGGCCATATCAAGAGATTGTAGAATAAGTTGTCTCTGTTGGGCTGGGCCGAAGTTCCGATGAGCCACTCTTGCTGCTTCCACCAGCCCATCATACCCACTATTCTTGCTTTTATGCCCTATTTTATCCACACAAAACGCACACACATATACGTGCAGTGTGTGTGGAGAAGATTCTCTTAGCCATACTAATCAAAACCATAATTAATTCTTCAATTGTGTACTTCTACTTAAAAGAATTGATAATCATCTTGCATTCTCCATATATAGGGACACATAATATCCAAAAATTCAAACAGATGAAATGCAAACAATTGAAATATGAGAGTAATATTGGAATATTCCAATGGATTGCAATGAAAGTATTTTTTTGGGAATGAGTTTTCCATTGAAATTTTCGTTTATTTAAGGATTCCAACTAGATTTTTCAACAATTGAAATATGAGAGTAGTAAAAATTTCAACAGAAATTGTATATTGCAACGAAAATTTTGATGGTAATAAATCGTTGTAATCATCAAATTCAAACTAAATTTCCAATGACAAACCCATTCCAAGTTCCAACATAATATTTTTATTGGAATTTTCGTCGGAATCATTACAACGGAAATTATATCATTGAAATATACGTTGGAATTTCTATTGAAATATATTATCACAGTAGGATTTTTCATTGGAATACATATACTCAAGTATATATATATATATGTATGTATGTGTGTGTGTGTGTGTGTCATTTGAATATAAGATGAAACACAATTTAAAATACGTTCATGCAAATTCAATTGTTTGTATTATGTGTGTGTTCATGTATTTTTCAACCTGTTGAAGCTTGTAAGCTATTGGAAAGATGGTCAATGGCAAGACGGTGAATCCAGTTGTCGTAGTAAGTACTTTTGCGCTCGTGAGTCGATTGAGGTTTGTTTAGATTATTGCCTGCAAGCACTAAGAGAATGGAAGAAGAAGAAGAAGAAGAAGAAGAAGAAGAAGAAGAAGATTTACGGCGCCATTGCATTGCAGCTTTCCGGTTTATTTGTTGTGGCCTAAAGTGGCTCTTGAATGGCAGAATTACAATTGCCTCCATGGAGAGAGAGAGAGAGATGTGAAAAAATATGAAGGGATAAAAAACTAGCTGAGCTCATATAACATGGCATATTTTAACTATAAGGTCTTTACTCATATTAGTTGGGTTTTTTAATCTCTAAACGTTATGTCAATTGATGCTCTTTCACTATTTTTTTTTTTTTTTAAATCCCTGTTGATTTGGCCAAGTAGAGTCAAATTGCTTATATTGGGATAAAGATGCTTTCTTGTCTGCAAGCTTAAGTACTTGTGAGTTATGGCAAAATTTCTATTTGTAGACTTTGAAATTTATCCTACAAACATAATTGAAAATGGTGAATGAAATTTCAAACTCACCGTTTACGTGGAATCCTTCGAGTCTAAACAACGTCAACTGAAATTTTACCTTTGGAATTTAGTTTCCTACTATGTTATTTCATGAAGAAAAAAATCTTTTTCATCCATTATAAAAGTATATTAAACTTACCACACCGTAAATTAATATTTTAACTTTTTCATCCCAAAAAATTAGGATTATGCGACTGAAACGGCACATATTAATTGCATAACTGTCACATAATCATCGCACTATGTATTCACACTTTAAATTTTTTCACCACACAAAGTGCAAAGGATTATGAGAATTTCTTCTAACTTTTAACTTTCGCACAATTGTAGTAAGGCGCTGCTCAACAAGCAAGTAACAATTCTTTCGCCGCTTATGTCCAAGCAAACACAACCTTAGTTTATCTTTATCATGTTAGCATATGTCATATTGGTGGTTATATTTGTTTGTTAATTAGAAGTGGTAAATATTTAATAGTAATTTTTTTATTTTTCATGAAAATTTATTAAATTAACAATGAATAGTTTAGAATTTCAGGTGTACAATTTTTTGAGTTGCTAAACTATAAATCTATCAAGTTTGATTCTTAATAAATAAATAGTACTAATAGTTAAAAATAAATTTATTAAATTTTGTATCTCTTTATAAAAAGCTCATATTGAAGTGCGTTCAAAACCTTTNATGAAACTATGCACAAACATCTCAAATAAAAAGATATATAATTAATTAAAATTCGATTTCAAATTCAAACCTCTTAATTTTGATCCTCGTGATTTCATGCGAATCATTAGTTTTTCGCCTCTTCACTTATAAAACTCAACATCATACTGACGACAGAACAAAGGAAGTTATGTTACCAACTAGTGCAAACCTACTACACAGCCTTAAATTCAAACTTAACAAAATGTCCAGAGCATAAAGTAATTATTCCAAAACAGAACAAATCACACAGCACAGAATACACTAGACTGGACACACTAATTAGCCACTCAACGAAGGAAGAAACTACTACATTACCCTTTTCCAATTTTTCAATAACAATTAAAGAAAGACTGTAATTAGCAGTCTGAAAAAAGTAGAAATCCAGCACACATTACCAAAAGTTCAAAAACCAATCAATCAGATCACAAGTTCATAAAACTGATCACCATCACCCTAATTCCTTATAACTACAGACCTAAAACAAAACATAAAAACCTGTCCATCATATTAAACAAAGGAAAAAAAAGCAATGCCTGCAAATTTCACTCCTTGGTGGTTTTGTTAATGAGGGACTTGTGAATGTGAGGTATAACCCCACCACCAGCAATCGTCCCTTTGATAAGGGTGTCGAGCTCTTCATCCCCACGAATGGCTAGCTGCAAATGCCGAGGTGTTATCCTCTTCACTTTCAAATCCTTGCTGGCATTCCCGGCCAGCTCGAGAACCTCAGCTGTCAGGTATTCAAGGATGGCTGCCGAGTAAACAGCGGCCGTGGCTCCAACTCGCCCATGAGCATTGGTCCTCGACTTGAGTTGGCGGTGGATTCTCCCCACCGGAAACTACAAACATTCATTCGAAAGGGGAAAAATGAATATATCTTAATCTAAATCTGAAATTTGGATGATGAGCAATATGATTACAACACATTTGACTAATAAGCTTGCGTGTTTATTCCACGACACCCATAAGTTGATGAAATGAGAGAATGATTCAAACTTAAGAAAAATGAGAAAGCACAACAAAATCAAGATTGAAATAATACTACTAGCCACAAACCATAATTTATGCATATCTGTTCTCATTGATTTATAAGTTACTAACAACTTCCACTATCCCAAAAGAGGCATAATAACACTGCAAACCTTTATCTTCAACAATAAAGTCTCGAGCTGAAATTTGGATGCATAAGAATTGTGATTACAACACTTGTGGTTAACAATAAAGTCTCAAGCTGAAAAATGAACATCTTAATCTAAATCTGAAATTTGGATTGATGAGAAATGTGATTACAACACTTTCGACTAACTAGTCGATTTTCAGCTAGCTGGGGGTTTATTCCACGACACCCATAAGTTGATGAAATAAGAGAATTTTTCAAATTTAAGAAACATGAGCAGGAACAACAAAATCGAGCTTGAAACTTAATAGAATTTCATTGTTTTACAAGTTAATAACAATTTCCACACCCAGATGGAGGCATTGGTACACCTGTAGAGAAATTAATAACACTGCAATCTGCTTCATCTTCAAAGGCTCAAACCCCAAATAAAGAAATTACTTCAATTGTTTTTTGATTACTAACAATACAACTTGATTAACACAATGCAGAGAAATCAAAACCAGTAAGGAAAAACAATTCCTGGTATTGTGCAATATTCATACCTGAAGACCCGCTCGAGCAGAACGAGAGACCGGCTGTTTTTTGCCCTTGTCCTTGTCCTTGTTAGCTGCTGCAGCTGCCATGGTCTTCCCTGCCACAAGCCCCTTTCCACCTTTTCCAGCCATTTTTCTTCTTAACTAACTGCTATTTTAAGTCTAGTTAGTGAAATCATCAGATAAGTACTTACTAAACTCACACAATCACCATAAAAAATTGGATTTTCATGCCATCTGAACGGCATCAACAGGTCTTGGACCACTGCTAATTTGTACCACATTAACAGGAAATTGCAGGAAAATTATAAGTCAAAATAAATACAACAAAGATACACAATTAGATACCCAAATTCTTCTAAGTGTTCTGTTTTT